CAAAACAAACAAAACATTCGCTGGAGTCAATCACAGGAGGCAATTATAAGCAGTACAGAAATTATTTACTTTTGTGGAATGCATCGTTAATATTTAATAACTATGATTTTATTTTCCATGCATTCAAGAAATGCTTGTTTGTTTCTAGAATTCCTTGCTACTGGTCTTGTGCTAATGTTTATAAAATCAGGAAATTTAGAAAACAACAGGTTTTCGTTTTTATATTATCACTTTTAATGTTGTCGATTTCAACACGTGCATATATAATGTTGTCGATTTCAACACGTGGATATATAATGTTGTCGATTTCAACACGTGCATATATAATGTTGTCGATTTCAACACGTGCATATATAATGTTGTCGATATCAACACGTGCATATATAATGTTGTCGATATCAACACGTGCATATATAATGTTGTCGATTTCAACACGTGCATATATAAGCGTTGTCGATTTCAACACGTGCATATATAATGTTGTCGATATCAACACGTGCATATATAATGTTGTCGATTTCAACACGTGCATATATAATGTTGTCGATTTCAACACGTGCATATATAAGCGTTAGTTTCTTTGTTGAATTTCGCGGAAAGCTACTGTAATTTAGCACTGATAGACTAGAGAGAAGACAGCTAGACAACAACAACGGTGATGGGATTCGAACCTGCGACTCACAGATTGCGCTTTGAGCCACACATATATTTCTTTGCTCTTCGTTTGTTTGTTGTTAAGCGCAAAGCTACACAATGATTATCTGTACTGTGCCCTCCGCGAGTATCGAAACCCGTTATTTTAGCAGCATAAGCCCGCAGATTTGCGGGGGGTGCGTGTGGGGAGGCGTGTCACATTTTAAAAACGCGTATACAATACACCAATTCAGCTATATATCTATGTTTATAGTTAGATGTCTTACAATACAAACGATTCTGTTTGTGTCACACACTGAGGCCAAACTTGGATGTTTTCCAAACCACCAAGCATGAAATGTAATTACAAATTCTGGCAAGAGGCCCTGCGTTGAGTAAAGCGTGCATACAGGCGTTACTAAGAAACGGAAAATGTGTCTGTTGAGTGGGCACACATTGCCACACCTTTCTTAGGAGAATGCGCATGCTCGTATTACTGTCACTGGACTCTGGTGTGGCGAGTCTTTGAAACTTTGTTTTAAGTTACCATGACAACATTAAAAGGGTTTATATGTAAATACTCTCATTATAGCTCAGAATATATGTGTAGTAACCACAAAGCACCTCGAACTGTTTACACAACCAAGAAGCTCAGAATATATGTGTAGTAACCATAATACACCTGGAACTGTTTACACAACCAAGAAGCTCAGAATATATGTGTAGTAACCATAATACACCTCGAACTGTTTACACAACCAAGAAGCTCAGAATATATGTGTAATAACCATAATACACCTCGAACTGTTTACACAACCAAGAAGCTCAGAATATATGTGTAATAACCATAATACACCTCGAACTGTT